ACGTGTGCAGATATCTTTTTTGTAGAATGATTTGAGTTCCTCCAGGTATAATCCCAATAGAGGAATTGCTGGATCATATGGAAGGTTAATTTCTAGTTCTTTCAGAAATCACCACACTGTCTTCCAAAGAGGCTGCGCCAGTTTGCATCCTCACCAGCAGTGTAGAAGTGTTCCTTTTTCTCCACATCCTCGCCAGCATCTGTTGTTGTTTGTTATATTAATGATGGCCATTCTTACAGGGGTTGGTTGGTATCTCAATGTGGTTTTGATGGTGGTAGAACCAGCTTTTTTCAAACTACTGTTGATGATAGTTTCCTATCCTCCTGTGAATCAAAATGTTCTTTTTTTTAATTTTTTTTTTTTTTTTGAGTTGGAGTCTCACTCTGTCACCCAGACTGGAGTGCAGTGGCCACTCCCAGCCAGTGCAGCCTCGACCTGCTGGGCTCTGGCGATCCTTCCGCCTTAGCCTTCCAAGTCGCTGGAACTACAGGCGCGCGCTACCACGCCCAGCTAATTTTTTGATTTATTGTGGAGATGAGGTCTCACCAAGTTGCCCAGGCAGGTCTCAAACCAGGCAATTCACTCACCTCAGCCTCCCAAAGGCACGGGATTACAGGCTGAGCCACTGAGCCCAGCTCAAAATGTTCTTAATGACATCTAGAATGGTGAATTCTTTCCAGAAGATTTTCAATATACTTTGCCCAGATCCATCAGAGGAATCATTATTTATGACAGCAACAGCCTTATGAAATGTTATTTCTTAAATAATTAGACTTGAAAGTCAAGATCACTCCTTGATCCATGGGCTGCAGGATGAAAGTTGTGTTAACAGGCATGAGAACAACATTAATCTCTTTGTACACCTCCATCAGAGTTCTTGGGTGAATAGGTGTATTGCCAATAAGCAGTAATATTTTGAAAGAAATTTTTTATTCTGAGCAGTAGATTTCAACAGTGAACTTAAAATATTCCATAAATCATGCTGTAAACAGATGTGTTGTCATCCAGGCTTTGTTAGTCATTTACAGAGAGTAATTCTTAAGAGCCACAGGATTTTTGGAATGATAAATGAGCACTGGCCTCAACTTAAAAACACCAGTCGCACTAGTCCCTAATATGAGGGTCAGCCTTGTACTTTGAAGTTTCTGAGACAGGAGATAGCTAGAGAAAGGCTAAGCAGACAGACAGGTGAGTCCTCTGGTAACAATGTACTGAACTCCTGGCAGGTCTCTCAGGCTCAGCATCAGTAAACAAGCTCTGTGTGAGTCTCTCAAGCTAGAACTGAAGTCCTCAGGATGGGACTGAAACGCAACCAATCAGTTCACTATTAGGCCCCTACCTCCTGCTGACTGGTCCTTAATGCTGACCAATCAAAACAGCAGCTCACAGCTAGTGCAAGCCAATCAGCTCACAGCTAGTGCAAGCCAATCAGCTTGGACTTAGGGCTATATAAGCATCAGGTTTCAGCCCCACACACGCAACTCCTTTAGGTCCCCTCCCACCGTGGGAGCTTCTCTGTCCTCTCAGTAAATCCTGCTTACTCACTTTCCAGCCATTTGTGTCCCTCATCTTCCTGGGCATGAGACAAGAACCTCGACCTGGAAGAGGTGCAACCTGAAGAGCTGCAAAAGATCATCAGAGCCAAAAAGCCGTGCACCCCAGAGGCTGGTTTGCCAGCTGACAGAGTCAGCTGAACTAGGAGAGCTGCCGGAAGAAGGTGAGACTCTGAAGCAGAGACACCCAGGGGGCTAGGCTTGCCAGCCCACTGCACCAGCAAAACTCTCATGGCTTGGCTTGCGAGCCCGTTAGAGCCAACATCCTGGGGTTAGGCATGCCAGCACCCCCCCCCCCCCAATGCAACACTCAGGGCTTCGCTTGCTAGTCCATTAGAGCTGACACTTCTGGGGCTAGACTTACCAGCCCCTCCACGACCCTCTCTGGGGCTTGGCTGGCCGACTCACTGAGCTGACACTCTGGAAGCCCAGACTGACCTGAAAAATCCGCATCATTTTGATGTCAGGCATTGACTTCTCCTCTCTTGATATTAAAGTCCTGGATGTCATCGTCTTTCAATAGAAGGCTATTTGTCTACATTGAAAATCTGTTGTTTAGTGTAGCCACCTTCATCAATGATCTTAGCTAGGTCTTCTGGATAATTTACTGCAGCTTTTACATTAGCATTTTCTGCTTCCCCTTGCATTTTTATGTTAGGAAGATGGCTTCTTTCCTTAAACCTTATGAACCAACCTCAGTTAGCTTTCAACTTTTCTTCTACAGCTTCTTCATCTTGCTCAGCCTTCATGGAATTGAAGAGAGAAAGGACCTTGCCTCTGGATTAGGCTTTGATTTAAAGGAATATTGTGACCAGTTTGATCTACTATCCAGACCACTCAAACTTTCTCCATCTCAGCAATAAGACAGATTGGTTTTCTGCTCATTCATGTGCTCTCTGGAGTAGCATCTAATGTCCTTCAAGAACTTTTTCTTTTGCCTTCACAATTTGGCTGTTTGATGCAAAACAGGCCTAGTTATTTTCCTATCTTGGTTTTTGACATGCCTTCCTCACTAAGCCTAGTCATTTCTAGCATTTGATTTAAAATGAGACATGCAGCTCTTCTTTTCACTTGAATACTTAAAGTCACTATAGGGTTATTAATTGGCCTAATTTCAATATAGTTGTATCTCAAGGAATAGGGAGGTCCAAAGAAAGGAAGAGAAATGGAGGAACAGTTGGTCACTGGAGTAGTCACAACACACAACAATATTTAAGTTCGCTGACTTACATGGGTGCAGTTTGTGGTGGCCCAAAACAATTCCAATAGTAACCTCAAAGATCACTGATCATAGATCACCATAACAGATATAATAATAATGAAAACATTTGAAATATTGCAAGAAGTCCCAAAATGTGACACAGAAACACAAAGTGAACACATGTTAGAAAAATGGCGCCCATAGACATGCTCACTGCAGAGCTGCCACAAACCTTCAAATACACTATCTGCAAAGCACAATAAAGCAAAGTACAATAAAACAAGGTATGCCTATGTAGTTAAAAATTTGAAGGATATTAGGAACTAATTATTCTGAAAACTGGGAAATAAAGAAGAAAATCATACATTTATTCTAATTTTCATAAAAGCTATACAGTTAATTAAAGCTCTTTATTAGAAAATAATTTCAGTTAGTAAATTTAAAGTGAATGGTCACATTAAAATATCACTGTTTTGCAACTCTTAAAAAAATAACAGATGTAGGCAATAATCACCAAAGGCTACTAAAACTATTAGCTGAAAAGTTGATGGGTAAATGTATGATGTTTATCATAAACGTTATCAGGTTGACAACATCTGAATCCATGATCAATTATAACATGACAAAAAGAGAGACAATCAGATACTGGAAGTCTCTTAAGGTAATGTGATAGGAAGTCAACTTTGACACCAATGAAGCATTTTGGGGGAAAAAATCCAAATTTAATCTGAGAAATTCTGTAAATTTAACTATTCATTTACAAGAAATAGGGGAGGAAGGCAACACAAGGAATACAATCTGCAAAACTAAGAATGTGGGAATTTCTACAGAGAAAATGGTCATTATTACTCAACAAATAAACTACCAGAAAAAAAAATAAGTAAGAGAATCTATAGATTTTTAAAGTCAAATGTAATTGCATAGACTTTGTTTAAATAAATCAACTAGAAACTTTTAAAGTAAAATTTATGAGGTAATTGAATAAATTTAATATTCAACGTCTTCCTTATGATAATATAGAATTATTGCTAAAATTTTAGCTGTACTAATGATATTGTAGTTGTGTCCTTTTCAAAAGCCTTTATATTTTAGATATATATCTATATTTCCAAAAAGTGTGTTTTCAAATATAGGTCCATGAAATAATTTGGAATAATGGAATTTACTTATATCAGTAAAATTACTTACATCAATGGAATTTATATAAATGAAATAATGAAATTTAAAAGAATCTGAAGGGCTGGGAGAAAAACTACATATTAATAATCGTTGACTCTGGATCATTAAAATACGAGGGTTCATTATACTAATTCTAACATATGTTTGAACACAAAGATTGGGTATTCCTAGCAAGATAACTAAACTTTAGTATTTCTGACCTCCTGTTTGATTATTGAAGACAACTACTCACAGAAAGAAGCATAGGGCAATGTGAGAAAAAGTAGTCACAGAAGTACAATGTCCACAGGTACACTTCACTGACAAAGAGCTTTCAAGGCTCAATATCTGAGTAGGAAGCCATGATCAATCTTAAGAGGTTCCTGTAGCTGTTGCTGATTGCCAAGGAGGCCATTTAGTAAAGGAAAAATCCCAGGTCTTGAAGTTAGCAGCCCGGCAACACTCAGTTTTGTAATCTCGGGCTCACATAACTTCTGTAGCTTTTGGAGCATGAAAGCTCAGGAAACGAAATAATAAATAACAACAACAATAATCATGCCGGCTCTGCACTTCACACTGTTCGAAGGGCTTTGCATGCATGATCCTATTTCAATCGTACTACCCAAGAAACTGCTGTGGGGGCCTGATACATACTTTCCAAAGGACTCTTAAACAAGGTAGGTATTAATAAACGGTCCCATTTTTGACCTGAGGTGACTAAAGTTCTACAGAAGACAAAAATTTGATTAAGGTCACGTACTACAGTGACTTGGTCTAGTCATTATTCCAGTATTATTTGACACGAAAGAATGCTTAGAACGCTGGGGAGCTGGGTGCGTAATACTGGAAATGTTGAAATCGTTTCACAGACAGTTTTCCCATCGCCCGCACCGCGCTCTGCTCATCTCGGTGTGAGCGAGGGGGATTACCAACCTCTCACTCAGCGCCAGGACCCAGATCCTTCAAGCCTTGCATTTTCGCCCCGGGTCCCTTACGCCTGAGCGCCCAAACCCCGCCCCTTTTCGGGTCGCGCGCAGCCTGTAACCTTCAAACTACATCTCCCGTGGAGCCGCACGAAAACACCGGACTTCCGCCGGAAGCTGGGAAAGCTGCATCCGGCGCCGGGATAAGTGAGAGTTGGATTTTCCTAGTCCGTCGACTGTATCCTGCTTCGCTCTACTGTGGTCACTTTGGGGTTAGTAGAGTTCGTCGGTTCCAGCGTCCCCTCTGAGGGCGGTGACCAATTCCCCGGGATCTGTGGCCCCACGCTGCCCTGCCCGGCCCTGCTGGTGGTGTGGCGCAGCTTTGCGCCGGGCTGTGGGCGCAGGCGCCGGAGCCGCCGCGGAGTTTGCCCCGGGGTCTCCCGACAAGGCGCGGGAGCCGGCGTTGTTGAGGCTGGTGGAGTTTCCAGCCCAGCCTGGCTTGGGGGAAAGGAATCGCTACTTCGAATGTGATTTCACCGCGAACGAAGGAATCTCGCAGTGGTATCTCAAGGCATTTTGCAGAAACCGTGCACGGGTGGCGCTTAATTGGTTAAATAGTCTTGAGTGCCAGGAATGGAATTTGTTAAAGGATGGTCAGTGACTTCAGTGACAGTGCAATAGTTGAAGTCCTTACCTGTCCCATTCCATCCGTGTGACCCTGGGCACGTCATTGGCCCCGGGTTACACAATAAAAGTGGATGTTGGATTGATTAAAATCGAAGACCCTTTCTGAACCTAATATATTTTTTAAATGACCTCTCAGAAAAGTCCATCTGCTTCTTGGAAAGCAAGTGCAGAGCTGTATCTTGCCTTCAAGTCCTTAGCTACTGAGAGACCTGTCAATGAGAATTGAAAAACTAAATCAAGCAGTAGAGCTGGATCTCAGCTACTCTGGAGTGAGTAATGGTACTATTTCCAGATGGCTTTTCCGCTGAGAAATCTAAAGGGAAAAGTGTACATTTCTCACTTTCTCCGGAGAATACCGTATGCATAAGCATTCCTTGCACAGGCGGTAGGAATGACACTATATTTTTGAAGGACAATTTTGCAGTCACCTGAGGTGGCCTGTGGGGAGAATGAGTGAACCTAGAACATGAGACAGTGAAATATTGTCAAAATAAAACTAACTGAAAAAAACTGTATAGTATGGGTTTATGGTAAAATTAAGAGAAAAGCAATTTGGAAGGGAGACAAATACAGGAGTCTACAGCAATGCTTCAAAGTCAAGTCCTGAAAAGCTACAGCTTTTGTTCAATATTTTAGAAATTTCTGTATAAAAGAAATGGGGTGGTAAATTCTACATTAAATCAAAATTTAAAAACTGCTTTGTAATATATAGATCACTTCTATTTTAATTTTTAAACAGATTTTCAATATTAGATTTTATTCGACTGTTTCCATCAGTTGTAACCTGTTTATAAGTAGCAGAAAGATACAAACAGGAAAAGTGAACAGATACAAAATAAGACATTTTTTAACCCACTGTTTTCTCTAAATTGTGTTGCAAACTAGATTATAATCTTTCCTTCTTTTTAGCCTGAATACCTTATTGGTTAGAATGGTAGAAATGATTTGGTCTGCTGTGCTTCTCACAGTCAACTGACAGTTTTATTAAAAAAAAAAAAAAAAAAAAAAAAAGAATGATAGAAATGTACTTAATCCTAAATTTCTTCTTAATAGCATTTTATAGAAAAAAAATGTATACCTTAAAAAAATACTTGTAGAAGTTTATGAACAGTTGATACATGACTCATTTTTACCAAAAACATGGCTCACCGTATGTCTCACAACATGCAATCCATGATTAGGCAACATTTATTAAGAAATATGGGACATTTATGTCCTTTTTGTTTTTTCACTGAAGTAACAGTCACAAAGCAGATAAAGTTAATGATTTAAGAATCTCCTGTGAGTCAAATAACAGAGTGACAAAACAGATAAAGTTAATAATTTAAAAATCTTGCCCGGTCTGGGTGGCTCAGCCTGTAATCCCAGCACTTTGGGAGGCCGAGGCAAGTGGATTGCCTGAGCCTGCCGATTCGAGACTCACGCGGGCAACTTGGTGAAACCTCATCTCTACAATAAATCAAAAACTAGCAAGGCGTGGTGGTGTGCACCTGTAGTTCCAGCTACTTGGAAGGCTGAGGCAGAAGGATCGCCGGAGTCCAGCAGGTCAAGGCTGCGGTGGCGGGGAGCGTGCTACCGTACTCCAGTTTGGGCAACAGAGTGAGACTCCTACTCAAAAAAAAATTAAAAAATTAAAAGTCTGTGATTCAAAGACAACTTAACCAACAGAACTGTGTCCAATAATAGAGTATGAAATATGTGGTCATCTGAATTGTGACAAGGATAATATTTTTCCACAGTGCAATAAGACAAAGATGATAATTTCAGGAATAGTGATGAGTTATATAAATTATCCATTGGGATAAAAAAGTACCTTGACCCCTCCCCCACACTATGAACAAAAATCAGTCCCAAATGGATTGCAGAAATAATTTTGCAAGATCAAGTAATAAATTGTTTTCATGTGAAACTTAGAAAGCTTTTGAATAATTAACTATATAGGATCACAGTTAATAATAGGGCAGGGACCTATACCTGGTACCACAGAGTCAAAGAATATGACTTGTCATATATTAGTACTCTGCCTTTACTTCCATCTGTTTTAGCCCCTCCCCCACCACTCTACTCCATAACAAAGTACCCCCTGGCCACTTTAAATACCTCCTCCTATCTGTAATAAATTACCTGGCTCCCCTCCCAAGGATGTGGCCATCTCATCTCATCTGCATTACCAAGGCTCTTTATACATTACTTTGTATACCCCTCCATGGTATATAAATTGAATTATAATTTTCAACTGATAATTTTGAAATATATGCTGTGATGACACTTAACTACCAATAATCTTTTGAAAAGTACATTGCCTTAAAACTTTTACTGTTATTCTAGCAACACTACTTGGCTAATGTTCATTCACTGGTACAAAAAGCAGTTGCAAATGAGGTTCTTTTCCTATTTTTCTTCTCTTAAGGAAGAAATGTCTTCTGTAAAAAGAAGTCCACAACAAGAAATAATTTCCCTGTTTCACTGTTCAGCTGCAGAAGGAGATATTGCCAAGTTAGCAGGAATACTCAGTCATTCTCCATCTCTTCTCAATGAAACTTCTGAAAATGGCTGGACTGCTTTAATGTATGCTGCAAGGAATGGGCACTCAGATGCTGTCCAATTTCTGCTTGAGAAAGGGTAAACATTTTAGGCTCTACCACCTGAAAGGGTTTGTGGTTTAATTTCTGTGTTACATATTTACTTTTACATTCTTTCTTATGGACATATTTATGTTTTGGAGCTAACTCAAATAGCTCATTGACTAATTTGTTACTTAAACATGAAGCATAATTTCTAACAAAAATCTTTTCAACCTATTTCATTGAGAAATTAATCTTTCATCCCAGCTACTACTTGGGAGGCTGATGCAGGAGGATCACGTGAGCCCAAGAGTTTGAGGCTTCAGTGAAAGAAACCATGTCTCAAGGAAGAAAAAAAAAAAGAGCCAGGCACAGTGGCTCATGCCTGTAATCTCAATACTCAGGGGGATGGAGGCAAAAGGATTGCCTGAGTACAGCAGTTGGAGACCAACCTGGGCGATTTGGCAAAACCTTGTCTCTACGATAAATCAAAAAATTAGTCAGGCATAGTGGTGCACACCTGTACTTCCAGCTACTTGGAAGGCTGAGGCGGAAGGATCACTGAGTCCAGCACACCGAGGCTGTGGTGACCATGAGCACTCGCCACTGCACTCCAGCCTGGGCAACAGGGTGAGACTTCTACTCAAAAAATGAAAAAATAGAAAAGAAAGAAATCCTTCATACTTTATAGCAAAGCAAATTTATGAATAGTCTAATCTTGTTCTCCCAAGTAGAAAATATAAATCTTACTATGATACCGAGGACTCCTTGTAGCACATAAACCTTAATGCTTTTTTATAAGTATCCAGAAATGGTAAGTATCCACTATCTCTAACTTTTTATCATTTATGATAACTAAATGGTTTTTAACCTTCCAAATAGTAAACTGTGCACCAAAAGAAAAAAAACAACTATGTAATCATTAAATAAAGGGGCTATAATTTATATCTGAAAACATTTTATTAAAATAAATACAGGAGAATATGTTTACTTTCTATTTTATTTTTCATCCCCAATTTTTTCTTCCATCTGTAGATGTGACAGATCACTTGTCAACAAATCAAGTCAGACTGCACTGGATATTGCTATATTTTGGGGTTATAAACATATAGCTAATTTACTATCTAATGCTAAAGATGGGAAGAAGCCTTGGTTCCTAACCAATGAAGTGGAAGAATGTGAAAATTATTTTAGCAAAACACTACTGGACCGGAAAAGTGAAAAGCGAAATAATTCTGACTGGCTGCTGGCTAAAGAAAGCCATCCTGCCACAGTTTATATTCTTTTCTCAGATTTAAATCCCTTGGTTACTCTAGGTGGCAATAAAGAAAGTTCCCAACAGCCAGAAGTCAGGCTTTGTCAGCTGAACTACACAGATGTAAAGGATTACTTGGCTCAGCCTGAGAAGATCACCTTGATTTTCCTTGGAGTAGAACTTGAAATGAAAGAAAAGTTACTTAGTTATGCTAGAGAAGTCCCAAGAGAAGAGGAAGATGGGTTGGTTGCCTGGTTTGCTCTAGGTATAGATCCCATTGCTGCCGAAGAATTTAAGCAAAGACATGAAAATTGTTATTTTCTTCATCCTCCAATGCCAGCTCTTCTGCAATTGAAAGAAAAAGAAGCTGGTAAGAAATGAACACTGCTTATTTGTATTAGTAAAATCAAGTTTTTAGAATTGAGTTGGAGTTCTATGTATCTGCAGTTTCCAGGAGGCACACTTTTCTTGGTAGGCAGTGAAATTAGACTGTCTTCATTAGAAGCTTCCTAAAGTTCTCACCCTAGGGGACTATTGTCCTGGCCAGTTAATAGTTATAATCAGCCAAAATTGATTTCCTCAGAATTAACCCTAATGTGTGATGGTTCCATTTGATTCGTCAGTGTATAATTCTTGAGCACCTGCTATACACTGAACACGGTGGCAAAAAACATTGACTTGTTTTCTGTTGCTGGGTCTATGGTAAGAATTACGGTTTTATTCTAAAGGCCATTTAAATGTTGTAGCCTAGCCTGTATTTAAAACAAAACAAAACAACCTCATGCTAACTACTTTGTAGAGCCTGAATTGTACATAAGTACATAATTGTGGAAGTTGAGTTTTGTTAAAAGTACTAGGTATTACAATATCCCAGGTAAGAGATTAGGTATTACAGTAGCCCAGGTAAGAGATTGCAGTGACTTGAATTAGAATGGTGGCAGTGGAAATGGAGTGTTTGAGATATTCTGGTGATAGAATTGGTAGGTTGAGACTGTTGTAAGAGAGAGATGTTGATAACATGAATTAATACAAATTCAGATATTAGTAGTGGAAATGAAGAAAAAGGGGTACCTTCAAGATATATTTGTTATGTAAACAAATCATTGGTCTTTGCTGATGGGTTGGAATGGGGTACATAATAATGAAGGAAAAAATCAAGAATGACTGCTAGATTTGAGACTTTAGTAATTTGATAGTGATAAAATTTCTTCATAATATAGAGTGATGGGTAGAGCAAGGAAAGTAAGACAGACTTTGAGTAAATAAATCAAAATTTACTTTTGGGCATATTAAGTTTTAGAAAAGGACATTAGAATCTGGAACTTAGGAGAGGTCTGAACTGGATATACCCATATGGCAGTATTCAGCACAAAGGTATTTAGATCCCTTGAGAGCAAGCGAGAAAGAGTCTCAGAATGAGATCTGAATCCCCCTAAATTTAGAGGTCCGGTATAAGCATACTAGTCATCAAAGGATATGGAGACATTGTGACCAGGAGATAGGAGGAAACCAAGAGAGTAGATTACTTCTAGGGGGAAAGTGGTCAAGTATGTCAAATCCTGTTGTGAATTTGATGTTTGAGTTTGGTAATATGAAGCTGTTGATGAATTTAGCAATAGGTGTGTCAGTGGAATGGAAAGAACAGAAGCTAGATTATGGTAGGTTAAAGAGTTAGTTGGAGGTTAGGAAGAGGTCACTTGTCAGTGACTACCTTCCCTTAGTTGATGTGCTAGGTCCTTCCAGAGACTGCTTAAATACAAGGAGTGACCCAAAAAAATGGAATTATCTTTTGGAGGGCAGATGTCCCTTGTAGTTCACTCAGAACTTGTTCGTCTGGATCAGTCAACCAAAGTTTTTATCTGAAGTTTTGAGAAGATTGCATCACGATTTTCAGAAGAAACATTGTGGCAAGCAGGTGACTGATTCTTCTGACAATGCACCTGCCCACACTGTGCTGAGTATTCAGCAGTTTTTGACCCCAAACAGCCCCCCTTCCTATTCGCCCAATCTTACCCCAAGTGACTTTTTTGTTTTTGTTTCCCCGATGAAAAAAGTTCTCAAAGGAAAATGGTTTGGCAATGTGTAAGAGATAAAACAAAAAATGGTAGAAGCACTAAAAGGCATCAGAATTGATGAGTTTGAACCTGTTTTGAGCAGCGGAAAAAGCATCTCGATAGGTATAGGTGTATTGCATCAAACCGAGAGTACTTTGAAGATGACTAAAGTAAACATGTAAGAATACACAATGTTTAATAAGTAAATTCCGGGTTTTTTTGCCCCTCTTCCCCATATATCCTCCCAAAAGTCTGATATGGTATATTTTATTCTCCATACCTTTGGAGAAATTGTGGAACTTTTAAAGGGAAATTTCAAAAAGATCTTATAAATAAATGAGCTAGTTGCTTTCTTTTTTTCTCTCTAGCAAGGAAACTGAGGCCCTTTAATTCACTTGCTCTATAAACTTACATAATCATTTCTCTGTGCCTCAGTTTCTTCCTCCAGAAAATGAAGATAATAGGACTTATTTTCTTTAGGGTTGCTCTAAACATTAAACATTAAATCTATATAAAGTTATATGCATGATGATTGGCACATTGTAATGTTAACTTTTCTTATTGTGATGATCCTGAAATAATATAAATACTACAGTATAAATTTTATATTTTAAGGTAATGTAGCAGGCAAATATCTAAAGTTATGTATTACAATTATTTATATTTATTCATTATTCCCAGTTTAAAATTGTCATAATTGTTATTTATTATTATTTTATTTCAAGATTCTATAGACCAAATAATGTATTTTAGGGAGAACAAGTTTGTCGAACTTTTGAAATGTAACATTTCTAGTCTTATTGCCTCAATTATAATAGTTTTGATCAGGCCATATTAACTTTTTTTAAATACCAGGATAAAGGCTATAGCCAAAGTATATATATATATTAAGATTTATTCTGTTAGGCAGTTTTTATACACAAAGTTAGCTGTGTATATTGTAAATGCCATGTGTTTGATACTATGCAGTCTCTGGTTGAAAACAGGATGTGTTCCACAATAACATGAACTGACTGTGGCTTAGTCTTCAAGAAGAGGAATGGCAATAATTTCCTATAGTTTTCTAGTTATATTTCCTTAAAAGTACAAGTCTAAATTAGGAACTGCCTTTGCAGTATGTTTTTATAAAAATCACTATTTTAAATTAACTATTTTTAAATTTACTGTGCACTAGAATCATGTATACCAAAAATTTAAAAATCTCCTGTGGTAAAAGCCTGATCTAATACAGTGTGTAAGGGGTAGATGTTAGTACATCTATCTTATATTAGAGTTATATTTTGTTCAAATTAAAGTTAAATCTAATTTTCATCTGTCATCTGGAAAATTAAGTCTTTCACTTTAAAGAAAATACATACATCATAAAAATAGAATACTAAAGCTTTGCTTGATCACAAAGCCATTCATAAAATAATGCGTGTTTACTATAGCTTGAGAACATCTTACATATATATATGTATGTATGCATGTGTGTGTGTATGTATGTATTTATTTATTTATTTATCACAGAATTAAACTTTTTGTGCTTTTTTCAAAGGGGTTGTAGCTCAAGCAAGATCTGTTCTTGCCTGGCACAGTCGATATAAGTTTTGCCCAACCTGTGGAAGTACAACTAAAATTGAAGAAGGAGGCTATAAGAGAGTATGTTTAAAAGAAGATTGTCCTAGTCTCCATGGCGTTCATAATACATCATATCCAAGAGTTGGTAAGCCTTTTCTCTTATAGCTCAGCCATCTGGAGTGTTGAGGATTACAACATTCTGAAAAGACAAATTTTTTGAGGAATGAAACAACTTTTTATGAATTACATATTTTTATATAGTTATGTATTCATTTTTATATATATTTAGGAATTACATATACATATATTACCTTTTTATGAATGTTTAATTTGTCTGCTATGACTTCCAGGTTGCTGTGAAGTTCATGATTTTGTTCTTTATGGCTGTATAATATTCCATTGTGTATATGTACCACATTTTTTTTATCCAGTCCTCTTTTGATGGGCAGCACGGTTGGTTCCATGTTCCTGCTATTGTGAACATGGCTGCGATAAACATATGTGTGCAGGTATCTTTTTTATAGAGTGATTTGATTTCTACCAGGTAACTTTGGGTTCCTCAGTACTTATTTGATGTGTTGAGATACATGACTTCAATAGCCCACCAATTTGGCTCCATCTAGTGGAGAAGTAAAAAAGACCCATCAATATAGCACCTGTTTAAAGTATTGCCAAAGCAGTGCAACCTGAAGCTAGCATCTCATTACTTTTGTTGTCTGCCTGTACTTTCTCTTCTTCTAATTATTGCTTTGAATCTGCTGTAAGTTTGTGGATCTATTAACCCATCCCTTTAAAACTGTGAAAGAAAATAAAGAAGAATAGGTTCAGGAAGACCTGAAGAGTTCTCTAGGAGTAAAATAGATGATTTAGTGACATCTGTTTTTGTTAGCTCTCAGTCATCGTATAGTGAGACAAATTTACTGGATTAGTGACTGCTAGAGAGATTAACTGTTATTTAATTTGTTTTATTTTTCTAATGACGTAAACCAAATTATAGTCATAGTAGCCTTAAAAACATTTTGTTAAGGATATTCACTGTATTTACTATAGTAAAATTTGAATTTTTCTTATATCCATGTTTTACCTACTCAAACTTTTTTCACATTAAAAAATAAGAATATGCCCGACATACCATAAGTATAGAATAAATGTTGCTATTAAGATTGGGGGAAGAAGCACAAAAATGATATTTCTCTAGGTTACTGACATTGTTCTTTGTAACTTTCCTGAGATGCTCTGTCATCAGCTACATTAGGGCAGAAAGAAGCAGTCTCTTATAACCAGCAAGAATCTTATTCCTTCAGGAGATATACTGTTGTCCTGTCGGGTAGTAACTTTGCACAATGAATCTAAATTATTTTTCCTTTCATTCATATATCTGATTTTTTTTTTAACAGACCCTGTAGTAATCATGCAAGTTATTCATCCAGATGGGACCAAATGTCTTTTAGGCAGGCAGAAGAGATTTCCCCCAGGCATGTTTACTTGCCTTGCTGGATTTATTGAGCCTGGTAAGACTTTCATAATAATTTTAATTTAACATAATTTCTAAATAAAAATTTGATGGCATTTGAGAAATAATCCCTAATAAATTATTATGTTACAAAACTGAGTTATTGTTAAATATTTTAAGCATGATATAATTTTAATGGCATAGTTTAAACATGATATAATTCATGTCCTTACTAATAGAGTAATTTGTTTTTTAAAAATTCAGTATTTGCTCTTTCATATATTGCTCTTGACCAAGGTATTTAGACAGTTTACATATCACTTCCTTCTGTATTAAACTCAACTGTCACTTTTTCAAAGAGGCCTTACCTGATTGCCCCAAATGCATTAGTTAACACGCATACCCTGCATTTATAGTTCCTATCATTCTGCCTGATCTTTTTCTCCAGCAGTCATCGCCACCTAATATGATAGGTAGGTGTGTATTTATTTATTAATTTAGGTGTTATTTGCTCTTACAAAAATGTAAGTTGAATAAGGGCAGCTACTTTATTTTCTTTACTGCTGAATCTCAAGCCCTTACAGCAGATGCCTCACATGTAGTAGGATTTCAGTTAATATTTTTGGAATAAATAAATGAATATATCTAATTAATAAATGCTTAATTTTAATTTCCAATATTAATTTGCATTGCTAGATACAATAGTAAACATATGAGGAGGGACCCAAAAAATGGAACGTATTTATTAAAAATTGTATATTTATTCTTACATGTTTTAAACTTCAGTCACCTTATATATACTCTATATATTACAATACACCTAATTGAGATGCTTTTTTCCACCTCAAAACAATTTTTGAACTTGTTAATTTTGATGCCTTTTAGTTAAGCTTCTGCCATTTTTGTTTCAGCTCTTCCACATTAGCAAAACGTTTCCCTTTGAGGACTTTTTCCATCCAGGGAAACAAACAAACAAACAAAAAAAAAAACAGTTGTTCGGGGCAAGATTGGGTGAATAGGGAGGATGGGGAACAGGAGTCATGCTGTTTTGAGTCAAAAACTGCTGAACACTTAGCACGGTGTAGGCAAGTACACTCGTAAATCACCCATCATGAAGTGGGCAAAAACATTGAAAGAGTCCCCAAAAAGAAATTCGCTGAAGCTGAACACAGCCTCTCACAACAACAATAACTGGTATAGTGATGTCGATGGGTTTCTAGAATACTTACCTAGCAGGGGAAACCTGTACTATAAGGGATCATCCTCCAAAAAAAATTTTTTTTTTGGTGGGGGGCGTGAGGGGCGTGGGGGGCTCGTATCAGTCTCTGTTCTGGAGATTTTACATATATTAAATCATATGATCCTTATACAACCTTATAGGGTATATACTATTACAGTGATTTTTTTTTTTTTTTTTACAGATAGGGGCACTGAGGCACAGTCACTGAATAACTTGCCTAAGTTCAAACAGCTAGTATGTGATAGGGAAGGGATTTAAACCCAGGTTGTTTTGTTCCCAAATCCTTGTTCCTAATCACTATCCTGTCTGTAGTAGTTCTAGGTTATTTTTAAACTGCTGGGTAGTATTCCACTTATGAATATTGCACTATATATTTCTTCATTCTGCTGAGGGACATTTGGTTTATTTTAAGGTTCTTCCTATTAAAAATAGCCCTACAATTATTTTGTACTTCTCATGCACATTTGCAAGCATTATTAGGGTATATAGAGAGAGTAGAGTTGTCAGTCAAATGATATAAGCATCTTAACCTTTTTTAGATATTGCCAAGTTATCTGAAGTTTTCTGCCAATTTACACTTCCTCCAGCAGTACAGGAAGTGTTCCTTTATTCTACATCTTCACGAAGTAAGACAGGATTGTTGAAGTAAAGTTGACAAGAATGAAATAGATTTTAAATTTGTTGTACATAGGAATGAAGGAACTAGTACCTCATTGTGGTTTTCGTTTTCATTTTCCTGCTGATGGATTATTTTTCAAATGTTATATATTAGGCATTCACTTTTCCTTCCTCTGAATTTCAGGTGTTTATATATTTTATATTTTTGTTCTGAATGTTTATCCTAGTTTCTTATTGATTTTAAGAGTCTTTAAATAAACACATAAATAATATATTGTTAGTTATGGTCTTGCAAATATGCTAGTCTATAACTTAACTGTTTGCTATCTGTTTTCTTTGATGAATGTAAGTTCTTAATTTTCATGTGGGAAATTCATCAATCTATTTGAAATAGAAAGCTATATCTATAAATATATTTTGCTAAATACTCCTATATTTAGAAAAATGTTTCTAAACTTTCAGGTAAATTTTACTTACAAACTATTTCCCCTATTCTAATTCTCAATTTCAACAAATTAGAAATATGAAGTACATTTATAGACATCACTTTATTTTATCATAGCCAAATCAACATTCATCTAGAGGAAAACAGTTCCTTAGAAAGAAAAAGTATTGAATTTCATCTTGTGTGGTTTTTAATCTTTTACTGATCTGAAAAGAATTGTCTTCAGTAATTGTTTGACAGCATACTAAAAAAAGGGTGTTTCAAGATTTTAGTATGAAAGAACTAGCCATTTGTAAAATGTTATGTAATGATAATTTATAATTATGTAGTAATAATGTATAGTATTTGCATAGTGCTTAGCCAATAGTACGTGCTGGATAGTTGTGTATGTTATAATTATTTTTTAAATGTAACTGACAAATTTGAACCTTCAAGAAATGAAAAAGTTGCTTGTTAGTATTTGGTATTCTATATGTGATCATACACTTTAAAAAATAATGTTTTCTTCAATTCCAGTCTAGTTTTAGTCTTCTGCTTTCTGATTCTTTGAATTGGGTTTCTGTCCAAAGTGATTTCCAGATGTTTGAACCAACCAGAGCACAAAATGTCCAGGGCATATTCATCAGCAACTTGTTCTTTTGCTCTGTTTGATTAGGAGAGACAATAGAAGATGCTGTTCGGAGAGAAGTAGAAGAGGAAAGTGGAGTCAAAGTTGGCCATGTTCAGTATGTCTCTTGTCAGCCATGGCCAATGCCTTCCTCTTTAATGATTGGCTGCTTAGCTGTGGCAGTGTCTACAGAAATTAAAGTTGACAAGAATGAAATAGAGGATGCCCACTGGTTCACTAGAGAACAGGTAAAGTTCAATTTAATTTCCTTTTTCTATTGATCGTTCCCTGACTGCATTGGTTTGGGCACACAGCAAGGATGTATATTTTCAGCAAGTTGAATGAATGACTTTGACCCTCTCATTATGCATGGATTACAATATAGCTTGTAATTCCACATAGGAAGAGTATGTTTTCGCGAATGTGTCTTATATTATTCTGTAAGATTCTTCTAGTAATGATGATTCTGTGCCATTTTGAATTTCAGATGCCATTCCTTCAGTATAATAATAATACCAATCCATGTGTAGGTATTGCATTAATTCAAAGATGGGAAACAGGAATATTATTCTTAGATATTTTATATTTTATTTTATAGCATTAAAACAAGTAGATCTCAAAAAAGCAGTAAGAATGCTTAAAATTTTCAAAATGTTTTTATTCACTTTCAGATATACTTACAGAAAGAATAGCATCCTGTATAATAAATATGCACTCACAAGAACTTTTAAAAATACTGTCTCTAGATAATATACTGAAAGATAAATTATTTGTCTGTGTTCTGCATGACCCAAAACATTTGTATAAAAAAACAGATGGATATACTACAGTAGTAGATACCTGAAATCCTTTCTGAATTTGCCTACATCAAATTAACATAATTTATGTGTAATCCCCAAAGGTAGAAATTAGGTTATTGTTTCAGAATTTTATAGAAGAAAACGTGTCCCTAAAGTGGGCTTAACTTAGAAATTAAGTGTGGAGCATATAGTTTGCTTTTTCATGACCTCATTTTCATAAGGGAATATGCCTTTCTGGAACATTTTAAGAAGTGAATCACTAACTCAGTGATGCAATAAAAATGCTGTCCTAAATTTTGCATGTTGAATATGTATGTTGTCACTTCCTATTGTTGCTACTCATTGTAAATTCATCACATTTTAATTGAATTGTATAAGCATGGAAATAATATTTAAATATGACAGCTTTGAAATCCTAATGCATTTTATTATGTTATATTTTAGGTCGTGGATGTTCTGATCAAAGGAAAGCAGCAGGCATTCTTTGTGCCACCAAGCCGAGCCATTGCACATCAATTAATCAAACACTGGATTAGAATGAACCCCAATCTCTAAATCAAAGAACTTGGCTTTTATGAGTATTATTTAATTTCTAATACACTTATTTTTCAATAAGATTATAAATAGCCAGTACCCTTTATAATGTAACAACACAAAAATTATGTTGGGTTTTGAAATATGCTCAAAGTGTACTTTCCTTCTTAATCACAGAATTCATATTTTTATCAATTAAATAATTTCCTCAGATATTGTTAAATCTGGGTCAGCCTTTTTTGAACTTTTTTTTTGCTTGTGCGTCACAATTTTATCTCACAAAACCATTTTTTCTCATAAGAAACATCATGCTGTAAAGAAGTGTATTCTAGAACTATGAATAAAGTTAAATTTTAGTGCTTCTTGTAAGCATTAAACTGATCACCAAAGTTCCTTATTTTAGAAATGAAACAAAATGATTTTAATGAATTTTTTGACTTGTGTTATTTTTAGTCCTTTCACATCCATAAAGGTCCTTTAAGTTGTTAGTATTTGATTTTTGCTTATCTCCCTGTTGTAGTCCCATTTACTCTTTTCTCTTGGTTCCATTGTTGGTGATCTTATAGTTTTGCTGCTGGTTAATTTAGCCAGTGTTAAGAATTTTCTATTTTAACAGTGGTACTAGTGATTCCAATACCAGATCCTCATGGAAGTGAGAGCTTAAGTGAGAGCATACGATCATGTTTGGACTTCCATTTTAAACCCAAAATCATTTAATGCATCTATTTACATGTCATTTATACCCAAAGTTGTTCTTAATACAAAACAAGACTTTCTACTTTTTCATTGAAATTAAACATATTTGAAAGGAATTCTCCTCAAAAATCAATTATTAAATGGTGGCTTTACATATGTAATTAAAAGCACTGGCTTTGTTGCATTTTGTGATGAGAGATGTATCTGCATTGGCAAAAAATTGTATAATCATTACCAACGATATTTATTATACCCATATACATTTTGATTTTGGCCCTATTTCCACACATTCTAAGAAGCCTTGATGAAATGACTTTTTTTTTTTTTTTCTGAGTTGGAGTCTCACTTGTCACCCAGACTGGAGTGCAGTGGCCGCTCCCGGCTACCGCAGCCTCGACCTGCTGGGCTCCGGCGATCCTTCCACCTCAGCCTTCCAATTAGCTGGAACTACAGGCACACACTACCACCCCCAGCTAATTTTTTTTTTTTTTTTTTTTTTACACTTATTGTAGAGATGCGGTCTCGCCAAGTTGCCAAGGCAGGTCTCGAACCCGCGGGCTCAGGCAATCTACTCATCTCAGCCTCCCAAAGCACGGGATTACAGGCTGAACTACCAAGCCCGGCTGAAATGACTATATTTTAGAATTAAATCAGTAAAATTCTAGAGAAAGTAAATTGTAGTCGTTCACAGTTTTGCAATGTAGAAACTCGCATTTTACAAGGCTGCTTTGAAATTTCTTTAAAAGGTAGTTAGTAAATTAAAACATTTTTTATAATTTGGCTCGTATTTGCTACTGTATGTTAAAACTGAAAGAGACCTTAAGGATAATGTATGCAATTAATCATTCTTATTTTATAGATAAGGAATAGGAAATAATGATGAATTTAATTAATTGGTGAAATTTATACAACTAATGCATAATAGCAGGTCTATACTGTATAACCCAAGTCAGAATTCTCCCTATAATAGGGACTTAGAAGCTATTACTAAATATATATATATGGAGAGAGAGAGAGAATAAATTAAAAAGAACAGATGATAAGCATAAATTTAGCTTACTAAAAATTAAAATTTTAGATACTTAAAATTTATTTAACTTAAGTAAAATAACTTTCTCAAATAAAGCTTTATTTTTTGAATAAACTGATTTTCTTAGTAATTGGTAAATGCTTGTTAATTTCAGGACTCTAAGCCAAATTAAGACTTACTAGGACATTTAGATACATAATAAAATTTTAACTATATAAGTATATGGAAAATGACATGCCTTGATTATTATGAACTATAATGACTTGAAGTTCAGTTTTATTCCAGTTGTACTTTTAATGGTGGGAGATTCTAAGATTACATTGTAAAATTCTAGGTTTTTATAATGTTCAGGTAGGAAAGTAAAGTGTCAACAAATGTAGTTATAAATTTAGTTTCAAATGTTTAATCCCATACTTGGGGCAAATCAATATCTAGGTAAATTATTGTTTTAACAATTATTCTTAAATTGCCAGCCTCTAAGAGGTAAATAGCTATATGTAAATAAAAGGAATCACTAATTCAAAAACATGGTAGAAGTGATAGTGTATGAATATATTCTGGAAATGAATGTAGCATATATTAAAATTTCTGTCTATTTTGTGTATTATGTATGTTTTAATATGTTTTGATACTTTTTTTGAAAAATGGAAAATGTCTAATTTTAGTCATTAATCTTGTAAAATTACTGATATCTTTTAAAAATGCAAAAGCCTCTTTAAAAGCTTCCATATTTGGAAGACTTAAATTTGCATATGAATCATAGTTTGGGGTCAAATACATAAAACACACACAGACTTGCATATATAGGCAGAGTCTTTTTTTTATCTTCAGGTCCAAAGTTATATATCTAGTATATGTTTGTTTTTGTGTTTTGAGTAGGGTTCTCACTCTGTTGCCTAGGCTGGATTGCAGTGGCACAATCACGAATCACTGTAACCTCTCAACCTCCTGGGCTGAAGCAATCCTTCTGCCTCTGCCTCCCAAGTAGCTGGGACTATAGCATGTGCCACCATGTCCAGCTAATTTTTTTTTATTTTTTTGTAAAGATGATGTCTTGCTATGTTGTCCAGACTGGTCTCAAACTCCTGGCCTCAACCGATCCTCTCACCTCAGTCTCCCAAAGTGCTAGGATTACAGATGTGAGCTATCACACCCAGCATAATTTGTATTTTCATTACTTGCCTAATATTGCCAATCTTTGCATTTTGAAATCTTCACTTGTTTACTATTTATGAAGAATTAGAAGTTTATGTATTGTATTTAGTTGGAAAATTAGTAAGCCTTTTAAAGATTCAGTTACTGATTTGCGTAAAGACATAAAATAAAATAGAGTAACACAGGAGGAGACCATGAGATGAAAGGAAGAATAAGTTTGTTCATAAGCCAAATAAACTAGATTAAGTCCCATATAACAAAAACAGTAGATAGCTGGTACCAGAACTTTGTTACTAACGGTGATACAGAAAAATATTAGATGAAAGTGCTCTATAAAATGAATCTATGAATTATTTAGAATAAAATTTCCACAGTGCAACTTTTATTAGGGCTGAGAAAGTTGTTAGGTTATGTGTGTATGTGTGTGTGTAAGAGAAAGAGAGTTGTGTGATGGGTGTTGAATGAAATTTGTGTATTAGCTGAACTTAAAAGGGGCAGTTTTCTCTACTGGAAAAATGTGTGGGATAAAGTAAATCCAATGTGCAAAATTAGAGGTCTGTTTTCAAATGCAAAAGATCTAGGTCCTGAGGTAAACCAAGGTTACTTGCTTAGGGATTGAGGAAGGAGGGCAGGGGAGTTTGATATTCTGTGCAGATGAGGAGGGTGCTTGTTAAGGGGGCCAAATGCTTAGGAGTTTTGACACCGCTGGAGCAGGCTGCATTTTGAGGAGGAATGGGTAATAATGTTGCCAGGTGCCTGTGACTTCAAAAAGAGTCATGATTAGGAGCTAACTGGAGAAGAATTACTTGTGATGTTTATAAACTACTGAAAATATATTTTTTTCTACATGACACCTCATTCTCTTTCTTCCCAGGACACTCAGGGTAGAATTCAAAACAAATTCTGAAAGAGGGAGTACAGTTTATTATCATACAGTAGATTTTAAAATAACTCAGCATACTTGCCCAAAATAGAAGTGCTCACAAGGAAGGTCATTCAAGTAATGAAGATGGTATAGGGAGAATGGATAATCAGCAGCCTGAATTTTTTACTTGTTTGGGAATAATTTTTTCAACTAAGAATGAACATTTGGACATGTTAATTGGGCTAACAGACAAATTTCTCATCCTATTTTTACTGAAGGACAGTCACATATAATTATACTAATTGGCAGAAGTAGCACTATTAACTTCTCTTCATTCCTTCAAGAATGCTACATTTTTCTTTTATTGCTAAGCAGACAAAGCCATAGCACCCAGACAATAAATATTTCTCCTTTTCACAACTCCCATTATAGTGATACTCTCCAGAATAGTGGCGCTGCTGTGAAATTTCAAAACAGACTTTAAGTTTGAAAAAAATAAAAAGCTTTTCTACTAATGGAAACATTTTTCTTTCTGACTAGAAGTCTGATAGGAGACAGACAAACTGCAACATAAAAAATGAGAATGTGACCTGGCTTTCCATTTCTGGGCTCATGGGAATTATACCCGTCCAACTCCTGGTCTCACCTGTGAAGGATTAAGAACATTCTTCTAACCACTTAACTTGTGAGGTGGTTTCATTTTTTAGTAATATGGAAGTTCCACCCAGGAGCAGACATTTAAAATGGCACTCTTACTTATTTTAGAATAGAGTAAGTGGACAAGTGATCTACTATGAGGTTTATTTTTGTTTGCTTTTTATCCTGCCCATTTTACTCTAGCCTTAAATTGTAGTCTATGGGAGCAGTGTAATGTTCTGAACACCTCAGGAGAGCACCTTATAAATATTTATTACTATTCTCCAGTGGCCATGAGCTGAAGTCATCTCTATCAGTGGGAGTAAAAGCGATTTAAAATGCCATTTATCCACCAGCCTTACTGCTAAGAGTGATTTTGCTTGTTTGCTGTGTTTACGTGTATTTATGGAAAAAATTTGAATAGTGCCAAACAGTTTGGAGAATTTGGATCTCCAAAGAAAAGATACCTAAAGGTATATGCAAATTCAAATTTCAGGCACTTTATGGATCCTAACTGCCATCCCCTCTTTCTATGTCATAGGACTTCAGAGAGTATATCCATGAGTAGGAAGCCAGCCGAAACTCCATGTGTTCTGGAATGACAGGAAAAACTATGCATGTATCTGTGTGAACGTCAAAGTTTTAATGACTGTAGAGAAATCTAAAAATTGGTATTTCAGAAAATACCCTTAAATTATTTTGTACAAATTACAATGTTTGTCACATCGATCTTTTTCTTTATTTTCCACCTACCTCATACATCCTCATGAATAATAAACACATAGTTTATTGTGATGGTAAATTTATTATATAAATGGCTTTGTTTTGTTTTACAGAGTAAAAACAGTATGCTTTCTCATTGTTCAGTATATCTAATATCTATACTAATAAATTATAATTTTTCTGCAAATTCAGACTTCTGGGCTTTATAAAAGTTGTTTATGCCTGTTCTTTTCAATATTTTTCTAAATATTACTTATGCATCCCTATTTACAAGAAGCTAGTAAGGAAACTTTCTGATTAACTTATTCTCATAATACTAATATTTATATGGGACTTTATAGAGTGCTGGCAATTTTATCATTAATGCTATGAAATGCATATTCATATTATTATCCCCATTTTACAGTTGGCTAAGAGGAGGAAACAAAGTCACATTGCTAATAAATAAAGCCAAAGCTTGAACCGAAGTATGTCACTCCAAATCCTTTCTTTTTACTTACAGAGCTACCCTAAGGGAGTGTTGACAATGCTTTGCCTCAATTTCCTCTTTCAGTCTCTTAAATTTTGATCATTTTGGGCGGTGAATCTTTTACTCTTGTTAGTGTTCACATGTCTGCGGGACCTTCCTAATTATTTGGATCTCAAATTTCTATTTCCAGCTGTCTTTTGGACATACCTACTTAGATATCCCAGAGCCTCCCAAATAC